TTTGAGCGCTTTGATTGAAAGATTTCCTGGGTTTTTATAAATTTTGTATTAATTTTCCACTTCAGCTTTCAAATTGAACAGAGTGACGGTTTTCTCACATATTCCACAAAGGCTATTTTTCCACATGGTGTTCCCAACAAACAACACTTTTTTCATAGAACTAAAAATAATTTAACAAAAAGCAGCCATGAACAAGTTTCTTTACTAGTAACTTGCAAATCTCAACGTTAGCTGAAGCTTTTAGGATCTTGAGAAACATCCGTTCATCTTTTCATACCTTGGTATTAAACCTATCCCTCTAAAAAAAAAAAAAATGAAAGTGATGCCCACGCTCTCCTGAAGCCTATGATCAGTCCCAAGAAGAAAGGAGGTGAGTTATTCCTAATTTCTGTTTAGTTACCTCACCATCCAAAATGCCAACAGTTGCCATGATGGCTTCTCTTTCCTACACATCAGGAAACTGGCTTATTTTGGTATTGATCTCTCATCCCTAAAGCTGATCTTCTTTCTGAAGTCCCAAAGAAATGGACTAGCAAAGAACCCAATATCCTGCAAGCACATCCCACCTGCAAGTTGAATAAAATCTGGGACATTTTGCCAAAATCCCAACAGTGAATTATAACCAGTGAAGTCAACCCAGCCTGGTAAGAACCACAGGTTAGGGAAACAGGAATTAATACCAAATACACTAAGCTCACCACCAACAGTTCTCAAGGACAGTTCTGTATCTCTCTCAGAAGTGGCTTAAGCACAGTCAATTGCACATTCAAGGCAAATAGTTGACCTCAAAAAATCTCTTCCAGCATTTCCAGGGTAATTTCCTGTTGTGTTTTTTCCTCTGACCCGGAAGAAGTCAGCAGGACTGCCACATCTTTGCAAGATCAGGGCCTTGAGAATTATTTATAACTGCAGCTGCACTTACTGAGAAGTAATGAGATTTAATTAATACTTTCGTACTTGTCTGTACTAAAACTCAACATTATTATTTTTATAATATACATATTAGACATCTTCTTACTCGTTAGACACTGAAGCATGTTCTAGCATTCACCATTTTATTACTCTTAGCCTGCCAAAATTCTTGAGGTTCTTCTAATTACTCTGTGTTCTAAGATTCTACTACCATGAATTTCAGACTTTTGTCTTCTTTTTCTCTTAAATGTACATTTATACTGGCATGTATTTTCCCTGCCGCTTAAACTGTAGCTACATTACACTCTTGCGAGTGTGGGCCTAAAGCCAGAGAGGCTACTTAACATAGTCTTGGGGGAAAAAAAAAAAGTAAAAAAAAAAAAAAAAAAAAAGTAGTAAACTATCCTGTTACCATTAATGGGAGGCTTACACTTTTGAAGTAGGATCAAGTTTCCAGGGAAAAGACTTGGTGGTGAAAGCTCACAGTAAAATTGTTGTGTCCGAATTTACAGAGAAACCGAACTCTGTGACTTGAGCCTGGAGCGCCTCCTGCTGTTGAGCTGCAGAAGAGCAGCAGCGCTCAGTAACGCTGTGGAAGCAGACTGACAATAAAGGCAACACGCTGTGACAGCAAATGGCATTAGAACTCGACAGAACGCATAGGGACATCCTGCATTCCTCAGAAGCAAATATCTGCCTCTTAAAATTAGTTACTACAAATCTAATGAAGGATTTGTTTCCTTAATCCTGTTTCAACAAAGAATAAATGTATATTTAGAAGATAAAATATATAAATACATTTTAAATATTCAACATGCAAATATAAAACAGACACATTAAAAATATGTCATGAATTTCAGTGTCATTTCAGATGTAGATGGTCAAAATCTGGGGAACTAAAGAGGAAGTACAAGATCTCATCAGGGATCACACCGTCTAATGCTCCCTCCGGTCCCAACATTCCTGTTTGCAAATATGGTTGTATAGACCAAATGAAGAAACAGTAAATCTTTTCCAGCAGACACAGACACTGTCTCATCTGATATCTCTTGCAACCTTAGTGCTGCATGTTTGACATATCAGAAATCAGTCTCTTTCTTTATACCTACATTTGTAAAGATAACTTGCATCTTATGTACACATAGGAAACTATGGGTCTGTACATCAGCTAGAGCCACAGTAACAACAGAGTACAAAAAATATACCCCAAAGCATACACTTCCTTCCCTTTCAACAAAAACATTCTACTAAGCAGAAGAAACAAGAAATTTCTAATATACTACTAAATTTCTAAACTACTACTGAGTCCCAAAACATGACACACAAAAACATAAGCCATGCTCTGAGCGCAGCACTATTATGAATACAACCATGGCATTTCTGTAAAAGACATAAAGCTAAAAGTAAATTTCTTCCAAAACAGGAAAACCCTTGAAGAATAAAAAAATGAATCTACTAAACAAAAAGAATCCTAAGAAAGAGAGAAATGCAAGACAGGTAAATATATCTTGTTCGAAAATACATTTTGTCATTCCATGATGCAAACATGCAACATAAAATAGGATACAAGAAGTAAAAAATAAATTATTTATTGATCTTATAAATAAATAAAATGAAACCTAACACTTTGGTTTTTTAAAAGCACTATTTTCCCACGGAAAAAACAAACAAGGAAAACAACATCACTTTTCCTTAGCTACATAATTTAATACTGCAAGATAATTGTCTCAGTTAGAAAGAGAGTAACAATAAATAGCCAAAGTCAAATTCCAGCCAGTATGAAGCTTTATGTGACACATAACAGTTCTCATCTTTCAGTTACAGAAGTGCTGAACTGATCATACTATAGCATCCAAGAAGCATTCAAACTCAGTCAAACTGAGATAAGTACAAATACAAGATAAAGGATAGTGGAATCACATTTGCATGGCTCATAAGTGAAAAACAGAACGCATTTAGGGCACAGACATGATAAGGAATATTCCTGTCCTCTGGTTGTTGTATGAATACTCTGACTCCTGCCTAGTTTCAGTCACAAAGCACAGCCTCTCATACTATGCAGTGGAAAAATGAATTTTACTTTTCAGGGCTGATTACCTAGTATCCAGTACCCTGTTAAACATCTGCAGTATGGGCACAATGAATGTAAAGCATCGTTCAGTCATAGATCAAAAACTTTTCCCAAAGACAGAGCACTATCCAGAAAACAGAACAGTGAAAGATCTAAGCCCGTGGTTTTTAGTGTAGCAGTTCTGCACGCAGTGGAGAGGAAAACCACTTTTCCTTCCATCTTGTAGACGCTTGTAGATCTACATAAATGCCATAAAAAATACTCCCACCCAACCTGGAGGGAGAAAAACACTGGGCCCCAATCCTGCACTGTAATCAGGGAGGCCCTACATAGGTTCAGGAGACTCTTCACACTGATCCAGCTTCCAGACTTGGTGCCTGAATAAATAAAAAATAGCAAAGATACATTGCCAATGTCTGGGTCTGTTTTACCTGCAGCTCTCCCTTCATAAAGCTACAATACAATTCTTAAAGTAACTTAACTGGGTCTCTTACAAAGCCCCAGAAGGAAAGGAAATATTTTCCTTCCTAATGCCAAAACGTGCAGAATAATCTATTTGTAATCATCAGCAACTCAATTATGAGATGGTTAGCTTTCTGTGGTGATCTAAGAAGTGCAATAAGACCAATAAGACTAAGGACAATAAGCATCAGAAGACACTCCTCCAGGAGGAGAAAGAAACAAATACAGAGCCTTCTACCCCTAAGACTAACCTTTATGGCACAATTCTGAAAACAGGGAAAGCAGACACTACAGGAAATGCAGAAAATAAATACAATACACAGACAGTAAATTTCATGAACATTTGACAGTATATTAAGCATTATGAATCAGAATGTAATTCTTGCTGTTTTGAAAACATTACACAGGCAAGGTAAAGTGTAGATCTGTTAGCTACAGGATAGTATCTTGAATGAGTACGGCAGTCCTCTTCCACTGCCTGCTGCTGCTCACTGCTAAACATATGCTGTGGAGCACTCTGTGCTCTGGCACTGGCTACTGGGAGCAGATCTAGCAAATGGATATTCCTCTACCACCCCTGCATGGCAAGTTCTACTCACGCAGGACATGAATGCTGCTGCACACACATAGCTCAGTTCCCATCTTAGCATGCAGTAGCTTAAGATAAGGTCAATATTAGAGCTGCTGCTCAAAAACTACTGCCTTGGAAACAAAGTACAAGAAAGCAGCAGAACAGCCAGGCCAACTGCTGGCAATCTTCCGTTGTCATGTCTATACTACCATAGCTTCCTGATCCAGAGTAAACTACTATTTTAATCAGACACATCTAGTCTGCATTTGTTTAAAAAACAAAAATCTGCAAATTTGCAATGAAGGAAGATTTTTCCTCCCCCTCTAGTGAGACAAGCACAACTTTCAATTATTTTTTCCAACAGAAACCTAAAAGGTCACCGTTGCTGATCTAATAGAGGCAACACGCAGGGCTCGTCTTTCAGAGCTGACATCTCATTATGTGCAATAGTCTTGTGCACAATTTAAGTCTGTGTAAAGGATTTATTTCGCATCTTTGCAAGAGAGATAAGAATGAATTCTATTCGTTAACAGTGATGATCTACTCAAGAAGTTGCTGTTTCAAGTCTGCAGAAGATGATGAAGTTGCTTGTTCAGTAAGAAGTACAATAAAGTTAAAATATGAAGAGAAGTTGGATTGTATTCAGTGATCAAAATTTATTTTTAAACATTACTAGAGCTCAGCTAAGAACTAAAAACAAAACAAGAATAAGGATTTTCTATCTGTTCTGAAACTTCTTCACTCTCTTTTATCTTCAAAGAGGGACAATACTTCCCTGCAAAACAAGAGAGGAGCCAAAAATTTCTACAGGCATTCCAGCAGTAACTAAGAAATGTTACAAACAACTATCCCACCAGATAGTATTTATTTTTTAATATCAGAGTACATCTTCAAAGAAAGCAATCCTGTTTACATTGAAAACTTTCTTTATCCTTATTGTAAGGACACTCATTTACACTACAATAAGGAACATAAGGAGCTTACCTCTCAGCACGAAGGACACCACTGTAGTAAGGGTGATCCCAAGGCATCAGCGTCTGAAAGAGAATTCCAGCTTATAATTACAATAATGGACAACAAGTGAACCCAAGGTAAAAGTTTTGTTTCCTTTGAATATTTTTGCAGTTTCAATAAGGCACAGAACTTTAAAACATAATGGGAAGTAGTCAGTGCTAAAACCATCATTGGTAATAGCATCATATATCATAACCTGAAACCTTTATTTTCTTAACATTTCTTGAAGATTGTTCTTCTTACTCAACTATATAATAGAACTTCATACCAGATTTCAAGAAATACACTCAATTCAAATAAAAAGATAAACCTAAACATGTACAGAATTAAGACATACAATATACTATAAAAAATAGACATGCATCTAACCTAGAGTACAGCCTTTATTTTTCAAATGAGTCAATTAATTCGAAACAAAGTTATACTCCCTTTCACCACTTTACGGTTCAGTTATCTCAGTATCACTTTGTATATACCAACAGTTCTCTCACACTCAATGCTTGGTTTTAATACAGCAACTTAGCAGTCAATTTGAAGCCAGAATGTATCTCTAATTCTACTATGTCTTGTATACTAAAATAGAGTTAATTGTACAACAGGGCTAGCTTATACTATACTTTTAAAAAGAAAACGGATCACCACATACAGAAATGTAACTTACTGAATTCTGGGGGTTGAGCTTCATTTTCATCTTTGTCATCATTTCAAAGTCTTTTTGAGTTCTGAAAAATATTTTGATGATGCAAGTGTTATGAAATATTTTTGAGCAATGTAATACAGCACACAATGATACTCCATCCTAAGAAAATGTCTATCATCAGACATTTACAGTACTATACAAAATAGTAGGCCCACATATCAGGGTAAAAAACTTCTCCATTCACCTTCTGTCATTCAGGTACCTTCAAATTAAGTCCCTCTTACTCCAGTTATACAGCTCCAAAGCATTACTATACACCCCATTTATACACAGTGATGAAACTGTTTTGTGCTGTGTGGAACTAAGGGAGGCAAGATGGACAAATAGGAATTTGTTTACAGATGGAAAATATATGGAGTTGCGCACATGGCAAGAAGACCAGGAGAGGTGTTCTTCTACACTTCAACTTGGTCTTGTTTGCTGTTAACTGCATTTCTTGGCACATCATTTGTTGCATTTAGTCCTGGGTGTTCTCTGATCACAGGCACAGAATTTATTCTAAGCAAACAGCTCGTCTCAAAACTCTGGGAAAGTCTTGCTTTTTGCTTCATCAGAGCATATAATATGCAGCACTTATTAGTGCACAAGTCCCTCTATTCTTGAAATAAAGAGTATGGTTAAAAAAATAACTTAATTGAAAAGACATACCTTTTAGACAACTGGTCAGAAAGCTTCTCCAGAAATTGTCTTACTGTCTCTAGAACGGGAGGGGGAGGGGAATATAAGGAAATTATTTTTTCCCTTAAAGGATGTTAAGTTTACATCAAAATATTCCAAACGAAAAAAAATTTTTAATAAACTACTCCACTGACATCATTTCAAGAGAATTTAGTACTACATTTACTTTGTTACGTGCAGAGATAATGACAACTTCATAATCTAGGGAGTGAGCATCAATTCTGAAAAAAAACCACCAGTTCCTACTCAGTGAGTATTGTCATTTACAGAGAGAATGAATACGGCATACAGCAAAATGTAACTGCAATAAAATACTTCACTGGAACAAATATGTGTAAACTTAGCTAAAGAAACCAACCTATGACCATACACCTAATACAGTGCATTTGATTTCTCAACATGTCCCTCCACACATGCCTTATACCTGGATTTTTGGCCATTGTACCCTGAAGAGCCCTGTGGGCAAAGGTCTCATACCCAACCAACTGCGCCAGACTGTTTCGGCTAGCAAGCAATTCCTCCAGGCGGCTCAACTGCTGAGCATTGGAGTGAAGAAAAATCTTGTAAGCAGCTTCTCGCACCTAATAAAAAAAAAAAAACAACAACAACAACAAAAAAAAAAGATAAAAAGGCCACTGTTACTACAGTGCAATTTTTAAGGGAAACAAGTGACACATCTGGAGATCTGGCATAACAGCTGTACTTCACTGATATTGTTGGGAAAAGGCCTAAAGCCTTTCAACAACAGTAATTACAATTGCCTGACAATTACAACTCTCTTACCCATCAAAAGTGGAATGAGGAAATGCAATGAGACAATCTAACAGATCAAGACTGCCAAAAAGGCTCTTGTTCTCTACTCCTGTCAACAGTCCCCTCTGCTCATCGTCTCCCTCCTTCTGCCAACATCTGTGCTTCTCTGACCACTCTGTGGGCCGCCTTAACTCACTAAAACTTCTGAAAATAAACCCAAATTGTTTTCTGCACATCAGTTAAGCTGGCTCATGGAAGGATCTGATAAGAAACAGAGACAGGGTCAGGGGAAAGAAAAGAAAGGAAAAGCCTTATTTCTTTTGTAGCAGAAAGCTATTAGTCTGCCCATCTGCCCAACTTTCTCCTTTTCTCCAATTTCTAGTTTGTTTGGGTTTATTTGTAACTCTGAAGAAAAGAGTTAATTAAAGACGCAGAAAATATGATAAAATGCTTTTATGTTTCACAAACCAATTGAAGATAATCTTTTTTTTGTTGATATGGAGTAAACTCAAGAAATCCAGCAACAATTTATGCCTGCCTTCATCTGAAATAAGCTTCTCTCTTGGACAATACATTAAACAAGAATGCAGGTCCTGAGCTGAGAAAAAATATGAACATAAAAATTTACAAGTCATTTTGTACCTGTTCTGTTCCACCAGGCTTTCATTTTGAAAAAAAGCAAATAAAGTAAGAAAGATGACTGACCTTCCTTGAATACGGTTCAGTGCCTCTGCAGCAAAGGCCAACAGCATACTCTACTACAAGTGCACAGCCATCTGGTCCATGTGTGTCCAGACAACATTTGAACTACAATGTCCAGATTTGTGTTCCACAGGACAATAATGACACTGCCATATATCAGAGTGGGTCCAGCACAGGGCCACCAAGTTGTTTGGGCGCTGGAGCACATGAAACAGAATGGAGGCTGAGAGAGCTGAGTTTGTCCAGCCTAAAGAAGAAAAAGCTCAAGGGAGATCTTAATCTTCATCTACTTAGCAGTCAGGCATAGAGAACATGCAGCCAGACTGTTCTTGGAGGTACAGAGCAAGAGGAGGAGATGTAATGGACATAAGCTACAAGATGAAAAATTCCAACTTGATACCGGGAAGAAATAATAGTAGTGAGGGTGGTCAAACAGGCTGCCCAGAGAAGTAATGGAATCTCCATCCTTGGACAGTGTTCAAAACTCAACTGGACGTGTCACTGAGAAACCGGATCTTCTTGATCAAGCTCTGAACAGACTCAAACTGACAAGTTCCAAAAGTCCCTTCCAACCTAAATTATATGATTTCTAAAGAGCCTTTCCACAGATCTGCCCCAGAGAACTGCATTTTTAAATTGATATATTACTCATAGCTTCAGTAGCAATTCTGCAGATCACACTATTTTCAGGACAAGAGTTTATAGACAATATACAGTGAGTATTATTCCTTTATTTACACCCCACTAGTGCTGTAATTTAATTAATTTTTTATTTCTCACAGAAATAAACATTACAGCTTGGAGTCTACCACAGTAAGCTTTTCTCTTTTTTTTTTCTCTTCAAAGCCACCTTGATTATTTAACTATATAGTATAAGTGAAGACAGAACACTTTAGTGTTTTAATATGCCCCTGGTCCTAGCATCATATCTGGGAGTCTAAGGAATCATCGTCACATTTCAATGGCCTAAATTAATTTTCAGTTAATAACTTTAAATGAATCCTTTTTAGAAAAGCAACATTAACAATGAATAAAATAAGAGTATTCAGGATAATTCAGGTTGGATGGGATCTCGTGAGGTCTCTAATCCAACCTCATGCACTAAGCAGAGACAGTTATGAGCCAAGGCCAAGTTGCACAAAGCTTTTTCCAGTCTAGTCCTGAAACCCTGCACAGATGGGAGGGACAGCATGACCTCACTGTCTCACTGCTTGGGTATCATGAGCAGGAAAAACTTCTCCAATTGGCATTTCTCACATCCACTTGTGCCTGTTGCCACTTGTCTCCTGTCATGTTCCACTCTGAAGAGCCTGGTTCTACTTTCTCCATGATATCCTTGCAAGTACTGGCAGGCTGCTGTCAAGTTCCCCCCAAACCACCTCTGCTATAGGGTGAACAAGTCCAGATCCCTTAGCCTCTACTCAGTGCAAGCACTCCAGTTACTGGCCATCTTGGCGGCCTCTGTTGAAGTCACTCCTAAAGAGTGGGGCTATAATCTCTTCCCATAGTCTCTGGCTCTGTCCCTGTTCCTGCAGTCCAGGATGCTGTTGGCCACCTTTGCTGCCAGGGTCATTGCTGGTTCATGGTCAACTTGCTGCTCACGAACACTGTGGGCCTTTTCGACAGATCAGACCCAGCCAGGCAGCCCCAGCCTGTCCTATTACCAGGAATTCTCCCTTTCGAGATGCAGGATTTTGCACTTGTCCTTTTTGAATTACATAGTGTTGCCACCGGAACATTCCCTCAGCTTCTAGGCCACTCTGAATGTCAGCCTTGCCCTTCAAGTATATAAATTCTTCCTCCCAGTTTGCTACCACCTGCAAGTCTGGTAGGCAAGCATTCTGTCACTGATAAAGATGTTAAACAGAAGACCCAGGAGAGACCCCTGCAACAGTTCTTTCATTACCAGTCTTCCTGTAGGGTACATTTCAACCATTACCCTCTGAGTTTGATCATGAAATTAGTTTTTTTACCTGTTAGTCCATAAATCCAGACTTAATGTCCTAACTTGGACTGAAGTTACTGAAGAACACTGAGGCAAAAGAAAGTGATGAGCATCTCTGCCTTAGCTGTGCCTGCTGCCACTAAGTCACCGACCTTACTCAGCACTGAGTCCATGTTTTCCTTGTTCAGGTTTTTAGTACTAATGCAGCAGTAGTTGTTCTTGTTAGTGCCGCTGATGTCCCTTTCAAGTCACAACTGCAGTTGAGCTTTGACCTTCTTGACATCATCTCTACAGATACAGGCAATATTTCTAAATTCCTCCCTTAGATCCTGTACCTGCTGCTATTTTATGTACGCTACCTTTTGGAGATGAAGCTTTGGTATGAGTTTCCTGCTTGTCAAGCCTGGTTCCCGATACATCTACTTGGCTTTCTAAGGATCACAATGCGCTAATACCAAGTATCTTACTACCCTCATGTGCTTGGAGGATGCTATCTTTAGAGAACTACCTGCTTTTTTGAGCTCCTTTACCCTGCAGAGCTGCATTCCATGAGACCCCACCTCCCAGTTTACTGAATTAACTGAAGTCTGCTTGCCTAAAATGTAGAGCTTGTATTCTGGGCCTCTTCTACCTCCAACCATTCAGGATCTGCATAGTTGTTATTTCATAGCTGCTACAGTCAAGTATGCCATTGATTATTATGTTCTAAAACAGTTTTTCCTTGTTAGTAATAACATCATAATCATAAACCACATGCATTTGCTTCATTAATAAGGAAAATAACTGATATACACTTCTATTATAGAGAATGTCAAAGCAAACTCAGGGAATACAAACCAGATCATCAGGACAATCAGCATGCAGACCAGCAACTTGTAAGTAATTGCCTTCGGCTATAAAATTATAACGAATATGCTCTGGCAAAACATGTTTGTCAATCTTGTTGGGAAGATGAGTTCCTATCAGAAACTCATTACATAAATCCAATATTCTGACGTTGAGGTCAACTGCCTTTTCACGCTGTAAGAAAAATAAAGTACAAAATAATGTTTTCAGACATAGTACAGGCAGAACTCAAAGTTTCTAAAACCTTAGAGGACTTTTTCCAAAAATGAAGCAGAAAATACAACATTTAAGATTAGACCCACAGCACTAATAAAACTGTAATGTAGGGCTGAAGTCAACATGATCAGATGCTCATACAGATCTATAATTTCACACAGCATTGAAATTTGAAAGACAATGCCTCTGTTTCTGCAGTAAGAAACTGTCCAGTGGAGTATAAGTAGAATTTACATAAGCTTCGCTGGTTGCTTGGAAAGCATTTATAAAACTATGCCTGATTGCTATGTAAAACACAGAAGAGAAAAACCAGAAGCATCACTGAGACAGATATCCTGAAATAGATATAGAACTACAGTTATCTTGTTACTGTTTGTATTGCACTGTTTTCTGGAGACTGTGAAGTATTTATGGTATTTCAACCCTTCTCTGAGGAGTTAGTGATTTAGAGTTTTATCACCATCATTACAGTATTTCACACATTTAACCTTACTGTAAGATTTGCTTCAGTGAATTTGCTCACATTAGTAGAGTATGGTCTCTATGGCCCATGGGTTCATAGCTCAAAAAAACAAAGGCGAGGGTACGGATACAACATACTTGTAAAGTCCACAGAATGACATAATCTCCAGATCTCTGTCTTCCCATTCCACCCTAACTCTTCAAAATATATCTCTGAGTTTTATTTTAAAAAGTAGAAATTCTTTGTAGCAGAAGTAAGTTTCAACCTACAACAGGGAAGGATTTCTAAAGTCTGAAATGAGAATTGAAAAAAAAACAAACCACTGAGCAGCAAACAAGAAGAAAACTGGAATAGGCAGGGAAGGAAGAGGAAAATGTGCAAAAATAAGTGAAATTGTAACTGAAAGGAGATGAAGCACCACAGAACCAATAGTCAAATCAGACATAAACACCAGAGTTCAAGTTTCATGTTGTTCTTTATACAAAGTAGTTGCAAAAATATATTCTAGAAGCATTTTCTAGGTCACAAAACACCATCACAACCATGATCTTCAGAAAAACTACCACATAAATCTAGTAGAAGAGTCTTTGTACAGATCTTTTTAGAGGGGGTGACTCAAATAAACAAGGTATTAACTTTATAAAGGGACATGAGCTATGAACAGAGCAACCATACCACAAAGCATGGTGTAAGCTGCTGGTTTTGGCAAATCCATCACTAACTACTGCGAAAGTATGTAAAAGCTCCAAGACAGGTAATCAGACCATACCCAGATAATCAATTCTGAACAAGATTTACAACTTCTGGTTATGTGAGCACCAAAGGAGAGCCTGGGCACACACTTGATCCCTTCTAAAACACTCTACTTGATTAACCTGCCATCACAGCACACGGGGTGCTGATTTTCCCCCCTCTATAAATATGTTGTTGACAGATAAGTAGCTATTTTAAAAATCTGATGCAGACAACAAACAAAGAAAACAGGATCTCAGGTCTTGCTTATAACTGTTCAGAAGAGAATGAAAGGATGGGGGCCAAAATGGGAAGAACAGTCAACATTAAAAAATACCATTTAGAAGTGATTTAAAATAGACAAAATCAATCACTTCTGAGAAGACAAAATTCCACAGAGGACAATGGGAATCCTGGAGGACAAACTGACCCTGAATCACACGATTTCACATTGCACATTTTTCATTATCTGGTCTTTGGTAGACAGGCAAATTTCTGTTCATATATTGTAGCCAAAAATTACCTTTTCTTCATCCAAATGAATGCCACTGATCTCAAAATCAAACATAAAAAGTTCTGCCACTCGCCTAAAAATACAGTAAATCCCTGTTAAAATCACCTCATTTGATAGTAAGCATAATTTTTAAACAGATTTTACCTTTAGTAGTTATGTAGGTTTCATGTCTTTCACAGGGACTAACACCACAGTTATACAACTATTGTTATTAGGGACAAAGACTTCTTATCTTGTAGGTCTTCAACAGTCTACTCATTGAAAAAGGATTTTTCCTTTGTTCTTAGTCATCTACATTAAAAATATGCTTCAAAATAATCCCACTACATTAATCTAGATGTTTAACAAATTTGTGCAAATTACCATTTTAATTTCATTTCACACTTCATTTATTCTAACATCAGAAAAATACCTCTTCAAATCTAACATCCTTGTTCATGGGGAAAGAAGGAAGAAGGAAGTAACAAACACCGAGCTTGTCTAACCATGTCAGCAAATAAATAATTCAAAACTATAACTGAATAAACAACTAATAAAACCTATGACAGAAATCATAAAGTTGTAAATAAATATACCACTAATCTGATTTTGAAATATATAAATAAACTTTTATAAACTGAAATCAAGTTGTATAGTCTGGTCCCTAATTTTACTGCTAAAAACACTCACATATACACCACAGTACAGTGTATCATTTTAATCAAAAGAGTATGATTGAAGAAAATCTTCAGTTCTCATTTCTTTGTTTTTGCAGATCTCAGTTATTCAGTGTAAATATATCTTGTGCTCTACAGTCACAGAGACATTCTCCAAGACTACACAACTACAAACTTCCTAACTTCTGTGCCAGTTATTTAGTAGTCACTAATAAATTAATAACAGAGATGTGGTTTGTTTTCCAGTTGCATTTATTAATTTCACAAAACATGAGACATAAGTACAATAAGGAAAAATACATATATCTAAAAATGTAATTCTATAAGATTCTATCTATAATGATCTATAAGCATTAATAAGTACCTGGTTTCTGGATCTAGGGAACTCGTAACACTTTCATCAGCTAGCAGACGTCTTAAACTCTGACACAGTTCAACATCTGTATTTAATCTGAAAAAATAAAGAGTAAAAGAAGCACACATTAGCAACAGACAATAACATTTCGGTTTCTTGGTATTACTCATTCAAAGGCAGATCTTAGTATTTACTGAAACAACATTAAAAGCCAACGGCTGTATTTTCAAAGTGCTTTCTGGTTCACAATCACACTTAAAAACTAGAAAAATTGTATTCAAAGCATGTGTGGACAAACCGGCACGAAAATAGGTTTTATGCATCCAAGAGGAAAATACTTTTGAATCGTATTTTGTAGCAAATATGAGCAAGTCTAAGACTGATGACTTATGTTCCATGAACAAAGATCATCACGGTGACAGCATAAATCTCAGAGAACTGTTTTCTAGTCCTTATTTTGAAAGGACTCCATTAAGGAAACATCTGTGCTTGAGTTTGCCATCAGATAAATGTGCTGCTGGCTGCCACTGGAGTAGACTTAAGAGTTTACTAACCCCAGGACATTTCCAGACACCGATCACTGTACCTGTGCAGACAATACTATGTCCATTGGATTTGCTGGCACATTATCTACAAGCATCTATGTCAACCTGCATTACTGGGTGGGAATTGAAGTGGGGAATGAAACATATGCATACAATAGTTTATTAGCCTCTCAGGATAATTTGTGAATATTTTCTTCTTTCTAAAAATTTTATATCTGAAGAGGTATTCAGATATTATAGTCATACTGTTCTAGATGGCTTGCTGAATCCAATTCTTGAGGAACCCGGTTTCAAGTGAAAGGCTTCCCAAACATGCTGGCAAGAACAAAGCAACAGTTTCTATTGAATTTACTCTTAGAATTCTCTTTTTAGTCAGTACTACTGTCCTCCTCAGAGTATAAAAGGCCTCTGCAACTCACTGTAGGACATGAGATCAACCAGTCACTGTGTCCACTGTAACTAGGAGTCCTGAGGGAAGCAGCAAATTCTGGGTGACCTTCAAAATACTGCTTGGTAAAGCATTCACTAAAGAAGGCTACTCCTGAATCCAACAGGAAGGGAAGATACTGAAAGGACACAGCATTTGGAGACTTAAGATCATTTCTTCCACTTCTCAGCAGCAAGAGCAGAAAAGAAGCAAATAAATTCACTATAGTCAAGAGCCACAGAGGTAACTTTCAGAACTTAAGCTTTAAGGTATTAAGAAAAAAGGCAACCCAAAGAAAAGCCAAACTTCAGAAGTGTTTAAGAACATGTTCTATGAAATGGGGGTTTTAAATAAAGAACAAGCACACCAAAGTATATCAGCCATATATCAGAGCCCTAGACAGACACATCTTCAAACACTCATTTTAACAGGAAACTGTCCTTTCCTCTTTCACATATCCCACTCACTGTCTGGAATTCAAAGGGTCAGCAAAACAGAAGAAAAAGTGTTGTGCAATGTAACAGCTTAAATCTTAAAAACAAATTAGCATTTTGTACATACCCTTTACAACCACTAGTGAATTGTCACAAGTCCTAAAAAAATGTTACTTTGAGCCTTTGATGGGTTTCAGTGACATGAAGTCAGAAACTGAAACTAAAATAGAATAACCTTTCATGAGATAACGTAATAAATCTAAACCCTTAGATACCTGTAATGGAAGACCGACACTTTGTTCACATGTGCAAGTCCTTCCAACTTATTTTTTGTTGATTGCTGTTTTCATAGATGATCATACAGTAATTTTTAAAGATGCATATAGAAATAGTAAAAAAAAAAAAAAGAAAAAGAAAACATACTTCTCTACCACAGTACCAATGTTCCTGCAAGCTTCTTCAGCAGCCTCTCTGAATGCAAAGTCAGGGTGGGCAACTTTCACAAAATCAGCCTGACAAATCAGAAGAAGAAAACAGTAAGTAAAAGAGAATCTTGCCTTATAAACAAAGTTGCATTCAAGCAGTTCCACTTCTATTAACACTTATTTCTAAGAGTTCTGTGAAATCTTTTTGCAGAATTTGCTGGTTTTTTCTTAAAACATAAAGCTGATTGGAAAACTTTGCTGACATTTATTAAATCAGACAGTGCATATATCTTTCCAAAAATATCATTAACCTATACACTTCTTAGAAACATTTTAAGTATAGTGTGTCTCTTATGTATAGACCACCAAGTTATACTTTCACATAACTTCCTAGTAGGAAGAAATATGTTTCAAGAGAAAAATAGAAGTTCTTTTGGATTCAGAAGAAGGTTTTTATTTGACTTACTGATTTTTAGTAAGTCTCCAAATACCTAAAGGGGTCCATAAGGCTAGAAGGATGCTAAAAGGGGGCTGGGGAGCTAGGGGCTTCCATTACTTAAATCAGGGAGGTTGTATTTAATTAAAGTCTAGGAATATATTGTAGACATTTAGCATGATTGTACAGAAAGTACATGTAACAAGCTTCACAGTCTAATAATATGATTGCAGTCTGGTTGAAAAGGCAGCCTTACAAATTCTAAGCACTTTAGATTTTTACTTCTTGGAATCCCTGTTTAAAATTCTGTATAATATTGACAGAATAGGTGCTAAATGACAGCACCTGCCAACAGATAAAAATCACCAAATTGCTTCTAGACAAAGATCTGCAAGTTTTGTGCATCTTTGAACACAAAAAACCTGAAAGTAGTACATAGGAGGTAATTTTAACTCAGCAAACTGATACAAAACCATGGGCACTGAATTCTGACATTAGTGTTTTACTTAGATATTGATTGATTAAGCAGAATGAAAAGTAGTCTATACAAAACATAAGAACTAGTGACTTGACAGAGCATGTAAAAAAAGATGTCTTAAATCTAGAAAACAATAAGAAATAAGATTTGAGAACTGAAAACACACAGAGACATTCAAATGCGAAAACCTAAGTCAAAAAACTCAGTGACCTATTTACTAAGAACTGAATTCAATGAAGGCTGGGTCTGCTTCCTTCAACCAAAGTGTGATGCTTTGATACAATATATACTTTAGGTAAACAGTTTCCAGAAAGCAATATGAAATGCTCTGTTAAACTTAACATTTTGTGATACAGAATATCAGACCAAGTACTATGAATCTGTGAACCATAGAAACTGCTGTCTAGGAAATACCTGCATTTTTCTGTTAATAAAAAAGTAATACTGTTGAGTTTCATCTGCCACTTTTAATCTGCAAGCTCTCTATGGACCTTCACCTTTTAAAGTTCATAACTTAAAAAAAATGTGCATTGCAAACCCAATTTTATCCTTGAAATCAATCCTCTCTTTTCCCCACTGTAAGTGATGCTGGAAAGTTTACGTATTAATATTACAGCAGAAATACAACTGTGATGTCACCATTGTTTTCTTGTTGTTGCTTTTACACTATTTTTACATCTGTTTTAAAAACAATTGGAGCTTGACAGGATTTGTAATTACCTATCAGTTGGTAAAAACATGTAATTAACTTTCAATCAATTTAATTTTATCTCAACACAAAACTTCATGGCGCTGTCTGCTATTTACTGCACTGCAGAAAATCATAAAATGGAACACCATGGTGTAAGCTCAGTCAGTTTAAAAGGATTAATTTTTACTTTATGTAATAATAAAAAAGTAACTTACCAAGTCTGCTACTCTGCACAAGCTATCTGAAAGCTGATCAAAGATCCTTACAGTCTCTGGCCCAGGTGGTGTTGAACATGCCTTCTGTACTAGCTGTTCTGATTCGTGCAATGCTTTGTCTTGTGCTTCCTGAAATCCTTCTGGACAGCTCAGTTCTGGAACACCAAACAGACCCTGCAATGCAGAACACAATGAAAACACATCACTATTACCCTCCTTGATTTCTGCACCTTTGTATCAATATTTAATTATCACTATGGAATTTTATCAAAATTCCCCTAGCTAGCATATTGTAACACTTCACTAAAACATTCCTATCCAAGTGTCTTTGTAAACAGAATAGTCACAAAACCAGTCACAGACATTGGTATGATGTCAAAACATGTTCATTTCCCAGAGCAAAATCGCACTGAGGTTTTTTTAGCCAGTATTGTTCTCAGGAAACCTTAAGAGTTTGACATCAAATCCTCACAAACTCTTCTCTTCCACACCATAAACTCCTATGCCAACCTCTTCTCAAAGCATTTATCTTGCTTCCAAAGCATGGGCACCAAACAAAACACAGAAAGTCCACTTACGTTTGAAAACGAGGGAAAATCACTCCTTTGAAGCAAAAGAGACTTGTCAAGGAATATGACAACTAAGTAGGAGTGCCAAAACAGTGAATGAGTTGGCCAATAGCACTAGATATCAATGCTGGATTGATATCTAGCAGGCAATAGGACAGTTGTTTTGGGCTCATTAAATGAGCCACACATACTGGAACCAGATCTCAAAGGAAAAATCAGCAACCGCCAAAAATTTGTATGGTATGAACAGTTTTATTCCTGAAGTTCCTACCAAGCCTGGCCTTGTCCCACAGGGCAGGGTAGACACAGACAGCAGTGAAAGAGAGTTAAAGAGGTCCTACTGCTGATCAAACAAAATTACTAACACTGGCTGCAAGAGAAAAGTTCCACAAGACAGACCTACAACAGTAAAAAGATTTCATAGAATCATAGAATCTCCTGCTTTGGAAGGCAACCATAAGGATCACTGAAGTCCTACTCCTGGCCCTGCACAGGACAGCCCTAAGAATCACACCGTGCACCTGAGAACACTTCTGGAACTCTGGCAGGCTTGGTGCTGTGACCACTTCCCTGGGGAGTCTTTTTCAGTGCCCAACGAACCCCTGGCTGAAAAACCTTTTCCTAATGATTCCTTAATTTCATTTAAGTTAAAAAAGCATCACTTCGAGCAATACATTCCCTTTGCAACTGCCCAACTGCAACACAAGCATCTCCTTACCTGCTAACTACAGTATCTAACAGTGAAAAGCACATGATTTTACACAACATCTATCCCTTCCCAAATTTAATCTCAGTATCTAAAACCACAATCTGGATTTGCAGATCTGCAGGCCAGTCACTTTATAATGCACCTTCTGCAAACTCTTTGTGTTACAGTAGTCAGCTACAGGTTTGCATATAGCTTGCAAGTATTTATCTAAACAAAACAAAAAACTACAAATTGACAGCTTGTCTGTAAAAGTATATATTCTGAATGAAGCAAAAGCATCCCTTAAAGTAAGTATCTGGGACATTCTGAGTTGCTTTTGCCTATTTTCTTTCTGTCAGTGTTGCTAAAACTGCCTTCTTTTTTTCCTAAAGACAGAAACCCTTTCCTCACAGTTCCTATGTTTTAATTTATTATTTGGGAACAGGAACTGGACCAAAACAAACACTGAAAAAGATATTTTTATATATATACACACGCACTTAGACATAAATATAATTGTATCACAGCACCCTTCAATGATGCTTGTTGCATAAGAGACTCAAGACTTCACTCAGATCCCCAACCAAGGGTTGCAGTATCCTGCAATATCCCAGAGAGCTCCTGGCCTTCCTGCTGCCCTACATCATCATCCACCCTCCCGAGTGAGCTCTTCCTGCACATGTAGTCCTCTGTGAACAGGAGGTATCTCCTCTTAGAAATAAATTAGCCATGGAGCTCTTCTTCCATATGACACCAAGCTTGACATAAAAACTGAAAAATTACCACAAATGAAGCCTGGTGCAGTTCTGTGTTCTTTAATGGCACTGGCTGCATAGATGCAGCATTATTCTCTTCACTTGGCCTCAGCATTTACATCCTACTTGTCACAGCCTCTCTGTGAGCCTGAAGTATGTACCTCTATTCCCAAATTACTGTGGGCCAACTGAATTGTCCAGAACTCACTACCCAGGCCAGCCAAATGGGCAATATTTAACTGTATTATTTCCTGAAGCAAAACTTACACCAGTGTGCTTGCAGAGGCAGGAGAACCAACAGAAATGTTTCCCAAACAAGTGCTGGATTATAAAGAGAGGTCAGATTTGTCCTCAGTATACCCTCGAGTTCAACAGCTTTACCAACCTGGGCATCATGGCAAGAGTAGCTGAGTCAGCAGGCAAACACCTGGATTTTACAGCTATAACTATTCTGCATGCACTGTGCCACCCAACTCTGCCCAGGACCCAGCCTGTTGATTCCTAGGACAGTCATTAACAAACGCACCCGACTCACCTCAAAAGGAAACATATCAGAAAAGCCAAGCGTCACCGACCCAGCAAACAAATGCCTTTTTTTTTTTTTTTTGCCACAGGACAAATGTCAAGAATAATGTCCAGGCAAGAGGATGTCGGCAGTGCAACAGATCCCGAAGCACTGCCAGAGTGGCACGACACTGACAGAGGAACTAAGGCACAGCCAGGTGGGAGCTGGGAGTGGAAGGGGCAATGGAAGGGGCAGTATCTCTTGTATGTACATATGGGCGCTACTGAGGCTCAAAGCAAGTCTTTCCATACATAAGACCACGACTGTCAAACTCTTCCGCGTCCAAAAAAAAAAATTACCCTGAAAAAAAAAATCCCTTAAAAAAGAGTTCCGACAAGCAGAGCAAAGCACCACGCTGCCAGCGGCCAGGGCCGCCGCAGGCCCGTCGCAAGCCCGGCCCTTCCCTCCCGCCGCTCACCGTCTCCCTGCCCGCCGCGCCGCCGCGCAGCGGCTGCTGCTGCTGCTGCTTCGCGTCGAAGGCGCTGCCCACGGGGCACCAGCTGGTGCTGACGGCCCGGCGGCCCGGCCCCGCCGCCCGGCCCTGCAGCGCCCGGCCCAGCGCCGCGGGCAGCGCCCGCCGGCAGCCGCCCAGCATGGCGGAGCGGAGCGGAGCGGAGCGGAGCACACCCGCACTGACCCCAGCACACCCCGCTCACAGCGCGGCCGCGACCTCCGCGCGTCCGGGCCGAGGGGCGGAGCAGGAGGTGAAGGGCCGGCAGGCACAGCGCGGAGCGGGGCGGAGCTCCCTGATCTCACCGCCCCTCAGCCCACCCGCTCCGCCGGCTTCGGCGCTCTAGCTAGGCTGTCGGTCCCTGGGCTCTTCTGGGCCCGTTCCTCTCGCTCCCCCGATCCCTCCGATTCCCCCGGCTGTCCCGCTGCCCTGCTCCCTCCCCGGACGCGCCGGGGCCTCTGCCGGCTGATCACAGAATCACAGAACATGCCGAGTTGGAAGGGACCCAGAAGGATCATCGAGTCCAGGCCTTGGCCCTGCGCAGGGCCATCCTCAAGAGTGACACCACGTGCCTGAGAGTATAATCCAAAACGCTTCTTGAACTCTGATATCAGTCCTACACGTCCTCTAGTTAAACCTAAGTCCATTTTAAAATGTTTCTTGGCCTAGTTGTTTCTGTGACGCAAACTTAACAGCGGGTGGCTTACAGGGGAAAAAACCACCTCTTGGTGAAAAATTCACATAACCCTTGCCTCTGCTTTCATATCTCCCTTGCAGTCATTCAGCTGACATGAGAAGTGCAGCTGTTCTTCCTGAAGAAACCCACTGCATCATTTTCATTTGGGCTCTGTGATCTGTACTCAGGGTTCAACAACTGTGGAGATGTGCCCACATTCACATTCCCTTGCCTCCCCGACATCCTGAGAGGTGATAGGAAACCAGGACTCATGCTCCGACACTGCATTTGCACTGAATTTCATGGTGCTGGCCCAACTTCATTGGCATCTCTGCTTTATTCTCTTCTAAGGGAAGTGGATGAAACTTATCAACATCTTTTGTTATATTTTTGAGTTTTAGAAGAAGGGGGGGGGAAGAAAATTCCGAAAAAAAAATCACAGAAATTAATCTTTTATGGCACATCAAGGAAGTATCTCTTGATCAGTTCTCTGGTATGACTGCTTCAGTGTTGATTAAATATTATCTTTCATTTGTTGCCCTGGCTAATTCTGAAGTACAGCAGCATTATGCTGTATTTTTGCACTGGCCTTTAATATCTGCCTACATTGGAGAATCCATGGGGCACTTCCTCCTATCACTCCATTTCACTCCATTTCAGACCTTTGGCTATACGGAGAGCAAAGAACCATATTTAAAAGCTGTAAAATCCACCCAGCTAGAATAGAACTTGCTCATGCCACAGAACAAGCAAGTGCTAATTCCAAGTTTAAAAATTATTTTGAAATGGTTGGATGCAAACTAACCAAGTTTCAAGCCCACCTACATATGTCACCCTGGAAGAAATAAACTGGCTTAGAAGTAACTGCTGCTTCATGTTTAGACAAGATGGCAGGGACCCACGTCATATTTCCAGAATATTTATCCTTTATTTTGTCCCACTTTTTTGAAAAACATTTGTCCTTCAGGACTTGTGTATGCACCCCGTACATTCCTATAGTAAGTTACTAAACTGTATTGATGCAGAAGAATTGTCCTCTCTTGTGCAGAAGATAACAACTGTTTTCTGTCGAATCCAGTAGAAATCGTTTAGCAGATAACAACTTTATTAAGGAGGGCTGAAGGACACAGACATACAGCATTCACGGATAACATGGAGTTATGTGGTGGGCAATGGCAGTGGCTCCAGCGAGTCAGAGGTGCTGAACAGGAGGAACCCAGAGAAGGTGGTATCATCATCAGCGTCTGCAAACAGCCCATTGAAAGTCTCCCCTTGGTGAGCCTGCAGCCACACCTTGTCTCCTCCCTGCAGCTCCAGGATGGCGGCTCCTGAGGCTTGGTCCTCTCCACTCTGGTACCTGTCCACAGTGTGCAGCATCTTGATGTCGTTCTTAACTAGAGCAACTCGGACATTCCTTGAGTAGACAGTGATGTGGTAGGTGAAATAGTAAACACCAGGGTATTTGCAGGTGAATTTGCCAGTAACTGGATTGTAGTCATTGAGACCATTATACAGCACCTTGTCAAACTTGATTGGGCGATTTGGAGGGGGAAATTTGGTGTCAACTGTAAGGCCAACACTGAAAGCACTCCTTGGCAGGACTCCTGGGGCACCTACATTCCCCTTTTCTCCTCTGTCTCCTTTCAAGCCTCTTTCCCCCTGAACTCCTGGATTACCCTGTGGCCCTGTACCTCCCGTATTACCTTTAGGACCTGGATTACCAGTCGGGCCAATTGGCCCTGGGAAACCAACTCTTCCAGGATGGCCAATTTCACCCTTTGTCCCTTTCGGGCCAATGGGTCCAATGTCTCCTTTTAATCCCTTTTGTCCTTGCAGTCCCAGCTCTCCCTTCTGACCTTTGTAACCCACTGACCCTATAACTCCTTTTGGCCCCAGTTTCCCAGGTTGTCCTCTTTCTCCTTTATCTCCTTTATTCCCCTTCTCTTCAACAGTCCCATTGGCTCCTAAAGGAAAGGAAAAAAAAAAAAGAAAAAAAAAAAAGACAGTTTCTTGTGGTCTTCCACTGCATTAATAGGGCACAAATTGAGTTTCAGCATAAGGAAATATATATGCAGGTGTGTGTCAGCACTATATATACTGTGCTCACTGTACACACAATTTCTCATACATTTAAGTGCAGGATAAACATAATACCTAAAGAACCTCTTATTGCATTAGAAAACAGGTGCTCTTGCTGAAAGCAGCAAGAATAAGCTCAAAGAAAGGAAAGGTGTCTACAGGCTGATGGTAGCACTGACAGCTCACATCATCTCAGGCACAAGCAGCATCTGTCCAGATACTTGTTTTCAGTCTTTGGTATACAAAATGGGTGAGATGGTTCACAATTTGTTTTTTAACAACACCCAGAACTTGCTTGCTATGTGTTTCTGTAATTTCTGCGTGATGGAACTTTGCTTGGGTTACCTAGATTGCTACTGTAGCAAAACTAAAGGCTTTTTGTCCTAGTTACGTGTCACCATATGCTCCATTTATCCTTCATCCACTCTTGGTCTGGAGATCAAAGCCTTTGAAAATCCTGTGGTTGCTGCACAAGGCTTTGAAAGTGAAGATCCCGTAATGTGAAGGGTATGTTAGCAGTTGACAGACAAAAGATACCAGAAAGAACATACGCTCAATCAATCAGAAAAAGAACATGATAATTTCTGCAATAGGGCCTCTGGCTTCTTATGTTTGGAATAATGCTCTTTGTACAGTTTACTGTTCTCAATTTACAAGTGAGAGTATTTAACAGAATCAATGAACTGAAAACAGGTGGGAAAAGTAGCATTGGTACATCAGGACAAGGACACAAGAGAAGAAAGTAGCTTTCTAATTTTAAACAACATTTCTGGCCTCATGTCTTACGCTCCTTCAAGGGATGTTTCTAATTGACTGGAGAAAAGTCTGAGGGATGTAGGGCAGCTTGTAATTACTTCCATGAAACCATGTGTTATTTCTCAGGGTCACCTTCAGGATTCTGGAGAACCTGGACACTGTCATTGGCAAGTTGCTGTTGGAGATATACATTGTCTGTGCACAATTACTCTAAGGATAACAAGTCCTTACTTACATATGAAGTATACAGGATCTATGGTATTTTTAGGTGTATAACTTGTGTCTTCTACAATTTGTTTTAAAAGTCTCTTTCTCTGAACTTTCATAGATACAGGATCCTCACTCTCCTGAGGTAGCTGCAGATGCAGTGTCTTGCTTAGCAGCTGACAAAAGGATTAGAGATGGGAAAGGCAGGATAACAGCCTGAGTGAACAAGTTGTGGGGCATCAGAGGCAGTGGGATAATTTGAGGTGGCAAATTCCGCTTGCATTGTCAGCATATGTGTGCAGCCTCTACTACTTCAGGAAAAAGGTTTTTTAACCTTTATGGTACTTTTGCTACAGCTAGAATGTATAGCACGTCCAGTATTCACAAACACAAGGGCAGCAGTTGATAGACAAATAATAAATTGAAACACTTCTTCTCTGACCTTGTTCACCTTTCTCTCCATTGGCACCATCTTTTCCTGGAACGCCAGGAATTCCCGGTTCACCTAGTACAGAATTAAAAAACAGATTTTCATTAAACCAGAAAACTTGGGATGAGTCCTTCTTCAATCTTTCCTCTCCAAGCCTGGCCAAACAGTAGTGTAAAGCGTACTCTTATTCCTGACTTTTACTGGGTGCCACTGCTGGTACTTTTATCTTATGGAGAGATTCACAGAGAGCACAGAAACTCTGCTTGAGGATGGTGCTTTTTGACACAGAAGGAATCCTTGGCATAACAAGGTGAGTTATGGAGGTGTGTAGAGGTGCTGTATCCTTGTAAGGCCCACCAATGTGAAAACTTCTTGTCCTGTTGTTGCCTCCATCCATGGAAATGGAGTGAGGAAGCCACATTCACAAAGAAACACTGCAGGGGCCAGAAGCCTATTGAGCGTGGTTTAGCAGTGGACCCGGTCTTGCTGGGTTGATGATTGGACTCGATACTCTTAGAGGTTTTTTCCAACTGTAATGATTCTATGATTCTATGAATGGTAAACTCACACCTCAAGAAGAGATGTGCAGGAGTTTGACTGATGGTAATGAAACATTACAGTGGAATAATATTGCCTGTAGATCTGGGGAAGGCATTCACACTCTTGATCCCTGTATCTAGCATGACATGGACTTTCTACTGCTCTAAAGAGAGCAATTATAAAAGTAATTTTTGTCGTAAAGTCAAAGATGACCAGGAGATGATAAAATAATTGGATTTGCATCCAGAGTGCAACAGAAGAAAAAAGAGTTGGCAGTTTGGATGTAACCATATTCCAAGGGTAGCTCTCCAACCATACTGACTCGAGAACAGTTCTTTAGCAGTTTTCTGCATGGTGGATGTAGCCCAACATGTGCTGAATTTTCATTGACTTGGTAAGGAACAAAATTAAGTCTGATATGTTTAACTGCACTGCAAAGGTGTATGTACATACAATATAAAGAATGGTAAAATCACCCCAATTTGTTCAAACAGAGAATAGTACAGTCATCAAAACAGATTAATCGAGGAAAAAATGCTGGGGACTTTATCAGAAATCACTGGTACCATGTGATAACTCATTGGAGTAAAGGGAGGACCTTTATAAGATAAATGAAAATAAGCAAGCTTTAGATTTTCCATTTTCAAATCTTCCTGGAACCATGTATATAGAAAAAGAGGGCAGTTAAAGGTATGTGCCTATTAAGATGCTAATGGATTTTTTTGTTTGTTTCTAGATTTTAAAAAGCTTTGGTTTTAACCAAGCTAGGGCATGGAAAGCAGAAGGAATATATAAGTGGTTGCTTGGCAGAGAACTCTAAATCATTTTATAAACAACAAGTTCCAAGTAACTCCTTAGTAATCACTGGTGTAAATACCTAAGTAGGTAGACTTGTCTTTTGGTGGTCCAGGGAAGGCCATAAGCAGTGAAAAGTCTTCATTGCCCCAGTTATAAATGCTGGTTATTTTTCAGCTGTTCTAGTTTACTGTATAGCCACACGAACAGCTGTGGTCTATACGAGAGACTGAAGTGTTAGGAAAAGGATCTGGAAGATTTTGCCTATACCAGCATAGCCATGAAATAACTGCACATCAAACTACACCTTCAACGCTGATTCTTTAGCATACAATGTTTGAGGATGCATATACTTTTCTGGTGGAGCAGGTGATTCATTAGCTTAGCAAGCCAGTATGTTAAATAGACATTTCCACTAGCTTGAAAGACATAGTGAGACACTTCAGAACATTTTAAGTTAATTTCTTTGAGATTGTTGACCTCCGTTTGGTTTAGGTACTAGATTATATATTCCACTGAAAATAGCTGGGATTCACAATCCTTAAGATCAGGACTTGTTAGAAGGGCCTATCTGATAAGTTTAATCTGGGTCGATCTCGGCAGCCAGGCCCAAAATAACAGTGACAGGTTTCTGCCTTAAGCCATAATGCCACCTGCATGATGGCATAGCTGACCTAACATAAAGCTTGTTGGGGAAAAGTTCTCCCTCAAAATTCTGTGAGAAGGTTTGAAGCAGTAGACTTGCATTTTTCCTGTGCTTTGCATTCTGAAGTTGTGACACTTGAGAAGAAGTGTTATATGTCCACATGCCCATAGATTTATCACCTTGTGCTACCCTATCCTTGATATTCCAGCATGGATACAAGGCTTAAAGTATCGTGGGGATGATTAGCTTTAGGATGCTGAGATTATCTCTGTTTTCAGTATCACACACAAATCTCTATTATAGCCTTTTAGAGCACACATGAATCCGACATTGTTTTTCAGTAGTCTCTATGCCTGAACATACTCTGGTACAGTTGCAGCAAGTAGACACACTCAGAAGCAAGTCCTACAAATGTAAAATTTAGATAAGAAAGAGAAATCTTCTTACCACTGCATACTTGCTACTACTCCAAACAACATATCAGTTGTTTTTTTATTTACTGGGCTTGAAGCTTTTTACAGAAATAGAGTTGCTATCTTAAAGGAGTAGGAAAAGGTATACAGGCTTTAAAATTTTCAAATAGACTTGAAAATATTCCCAACATAGAAGATAAAGCCTTTTTTCTTCTGTTTTTACCCCATGGACCTGACATCTCCATAGTATTAGCTGTCTTGCTTTCATTGTTAAGCCTTTTTTATATTTCTTTCTTCAGACAAGTAAAGGACAAATGTCTGAAATGTTTTCTGAATAGGCAGAATAATCCCATTCATGCAGAGTGACTACACACAAATTTGGGAATGAATGGCATTGCATTTGATACATTAAATCATTTATTCTGAATGTAGTACCTGTATCTCCCTTGTCGCCTTTTGAACCGTCACGTCCATCACGACCAGGTGTGCCGTTGTGCCCAGGATTGCCAGGGATGCCAGGATACCCTTGGGTACAGACGTCCTGTTTTTCTGTTTTTGCTGTGCTGACTACAATAGCCAGCAGTACAATCCAGCTTTTCATTTTTTAGATAGGTTATATGATTTTGGCTGAAAGATTTAAGAAGCAAAAGTACATCTGCCTAAGTCTGCCTTGGAAGGGAGTGCAGCATAGTGGAGGAAGGAAAACAAGGAAATGGGGTTTCACCATGTCTATTCTTTTGTTTTATTCATAGGTCTCTATATAGCATTAATTACAGTCCTGAAGACTACTGAGTGCTATTTTAAATAATAATTTAATGGGAGTATCAGCCATAGCATCATTATACATTTAAAACATTAGCTTTACACAATTTAAAATATTCCTTAATTCATTGTGATTTAGAGCATCAGATTCTGTTTTGTATTTTCTTATGCAGCTTGACTTGTGGAAATTATTTGCTCTGCAAAGGGAAATTTTGATGTGGGTAGATGATGAGCAGCTGAAAGTCACAAAAGCTCTGAGGAGGTTTAGAGCTACCCTTGTTGTCCTCAGAATCTATCCAGCAAACAAGAAAACAACAGCTCAGTGCATCTCATAAAGTTTTACATTGTTCTATTTAAAGCATAAGTGCATTGACAAAGCCTGAATTTCACGGATTTGGCTGAATTTAACCCAGATTAAAAGGTCATAATAAAAAGGCAAATCAGGCAAAAGTGTTCATTTTTAATTTCTTCCCCCCCACCACCAATTGCAGGAAGGAATATAGAGTTGCAGCAGCTATAGACCGAAGAACTTCCAGTGACTGGTCTTACTCCAACCAAAACCATGAAACCGCAATGTCTGGCAAGTCTGCAAGTTTACGTACTAGATAATACTATAATAATAATGTTTTTGCTGTCCTAAGCCTCAAAGTTTCGTCCTGTAAGATGATTTATGTAGGACCTGTGATCCCACACTCATGCACAAGGATTCATACAATGTCCTGTTTCTCTGAGCTGTAGTTTTGCTTACTTAACATATACGCATTCCTCTTGTTCAGAAATCACTTCACTAACTCCACTAGCCAGAACAGTGCCCAAAGAGGAGCTATTTCATGGCCATTGCTGCCTTTCACAGCCATGCAGAAGACTGCCTACATCCTTCAATAAGAATAATTGCAGCCTGCTAGCAATATGCAATCTAAATATTCTTTTAATGTAGTTTATATAGGGAGACCCTAATTTTGGGACATGTTCCTTAATCTTTTTATTCTGTGTTCAGAAAAGTTCCCTGTTTTGGAACAATTAGTGGAAATGTGATTTATGCTGTCTTTGCCAATGGTTTACAGAGAGATGTTTAATCACCAGCTAGTAAAATCCCACTTTGTCTGCTGCTGCTGGTTGACACGAAAGGAAGTTGAAAATCAATAAAACATTTGCTACTTCTGAGCTATATAAGCTTTTTCTGCCTTAGTCAAAGGACTCCAGAAGAGTGCAAAAGGAAGAAGTGCTCTGTGTGACGCTGTTAGGATGTGATGCACCCCATGGAGAGGTCTGACAGTCTTTGTCCACTTACAGAAAACCCCATTCCCAGTTGTCTAATGGAGCATTTCTTGCCAAAAGAATAGACAGTTTGGTCCCCATACATGCACTCCACAAGCTGACATTAATATCATCATCAAATATATAGGATCCTTGTTCTTACCTCATTCACTTGGTACTTGCAGTGTTCTTGGGCATCTTTAACCAGAGTGGAAAAGCTTCATGTAAAGGAATGCCCGCTCAGATATGTGTCTTGAGGACAAGTACTTGTTAGGTCACTAAATTCTCAAAGGTCAGTGATTTAATTCTGAGAGCTGTTCAATAATTAAAACACAGTTTTAAACTGGAATCTTCCTATTTATTCCAATATTAAGCTGAAGTGCTCTGTGTTTTGGCTTTTACCACTCTTACATGAAAGAAAATTGTTAAAATGGATTAATAAGGCTTTGATTTGCCTGTTCCATTTTACAAATACATCACAGAAATTTTAACCTTTAACAGGTTGGTTGGTTTGTAGGATGGAAGCCATATCTCACACCATTATTGTGCTGCAAAACATGTAATAGTTTCTGTATCAAGTAATTTTCAATGGAATTAGGGAAAAAGACTATAGAAATTAAAACCAAAAATGCTGAGAACATAACATTACAAATATTAGCTGCTTATGGAAAAGAAGTAACAAGGTTGAATTAAAGTAAAAAAGATGCATGACAAAGAGAGCTTTTCAAGTGTAATTAGCAGGCTCCCCATTTAGCCATTCGAGCAACAGTGAAAGCCACTGCTATACTAAATTATATAACATTGGTAACTAAATTTTTAAAAGCTATAACTCAATACTTAACTATGTCTTCTTGAAACTCCTGCAACTGCTGCTAAGGACTAGTGGAAGTAAAGCAATTGAGCTTATCATCAACTCCTTAAATGCTGGTCATGAACACTGAAGGATAAAACCAAAAATCACAGGAGTTAATGTGTTATAGGAAGTGGCCTTAATTCACCCTGGTTGGTGCAAGTGACTGAAAACAGTGTGTCTGAGGGTGTTCCCACACTGCAAAGACATGACACGTGTGGTCTGCACATACCGAAGGATGTAACCTCGGTGCTGCTGAGCAACGAAGCTTTTGGTAAGGTCTTCACCACCACTCTGTGGCAATACGACAATACTGCAAGCGCTGTGGTGCCCTGGTTTATATTTGGGACACTGTGTCCACCGTGCTCTGAGGAAAAGGAAGGACCATGTGCAGCAATTAGCTGCTCTACTTGAATGAACTTCTGTAGCCAAATTAACCTCGCTCTGTGCTAACTGAGAAGAAAAAACGAGAGCTGTGACAAACAATCCTTTTCTTTTTACCCATTAAGCACCATCTGAAATTTTTGAATGTTGCTTCGTCTCAGCCTCCTTTCTCTACTTAAAAGTTTGAGTCAATAAAAAATAGCCAACCCTGCCAGCTTAGTGCTGTGCCCTCAGTGGTCTGTCCTGCCATGCAGAAAACCTGGATTTCTTGACAAACCTTTCTGTCTGCAGGGTCCTGGGAGAGTCAGTGGCTCTGGTGGGACAGCACTGGAGGCTCCTGGGGACATGGTACCAGCAGTGGCATGCCCTGGGCCTCCCAGGGCAGCACAATCCTTACAATGACCCAAACAAAGCTGGAATTTTACAGTGATAACAGTCACAGTCTGTCTGTCCCATGCTGAGTTGAAAATGACATCATTTATTAGTTACCTCTACCTTGATGGACTCTGCAGTTAGTCTGGTTTGATGCATTTTTAGCAGAGAACCAAGAAAAATGCTGTAGGAATGGCCTTAAAGGCAAATGTTACCCCCCAGCTGCTTTCTAGTGTGTCTTGTCTCATCACAGAGTAATGCCTTGAAAATAATTACACAGTAGCAAAAGTTGATCATTTGCTCTGAAAAAACATTGCATCTGTATGGAAGGAGATGCAGGGAGTTTTTTAGATTGATTGCTGTGCTCATTACCTTCTTTAGGAGATGAATATGGCAGTAATGACCATGAGATGGATGGTTAGTGAGGTACCTGATCTTATTAGCAGAGCACCTTCTAGACACTTTTTCAGTGAGTCAGTATCTCTAAAGTCTGGTGTACGCTTATAGGAAGTGGCCGTGGTTAACTGTGCCTAGTGAATCTGCCTACTGACAGTTCACTTCAGTGTATACATTGGGCCTTCTGCCTTCTTATTTCCTATGTGCCAGAAATAAGGAGGAATTTGGCAGGTGCCAGGTTCTGCCAGCAAAGTCCCTCAGGTGTACCTCAGGGATTCCTTTCCTCTGTACTGGAGGAGTACCTGTACTCCTTTCCTCTTAAGCAGTTTCAGCTTTCCAAAAAACACTAGGAGAAACAGTCAGTAAATCCTACATCGTCTTATGTTTCTCTTCTGAGAGAAACTCAGCATTTGAAGGGCAGTGGTACTCCTTCCTCTGCTGCTGACATCTGCCATTTCAGGTTTGCCCTTCTAAACTTCACTGACACCAGAGTGCAGGGATTCTGATGGATACCTCCTAGCCTTCACTTGTCTGCAGAGTGGTTTGTCTGTCATTGCAGGTGGCCCACTCTGAATGCTTGGAACATTAAAATGATTCAGGTAAAACCTTGCCCAGGTGTCATTCAGTTATCAGCCTCCCCCTCCCCAATGCACAACAGAAATGTAACATAAAGAGAGGGAGGGTCCATATGGGGATGCCATATGGAGTCTACAAAGGGGGGGGGGTGTAAATACATACATATACAAACACATACACACTCACACACAAGTCTGTTTTTTAAAACCAGAGTCTAAAATACCTAATAGTGGCAGTATGTGAGTTCTCAGCCCTAGGCACTCACCTGGACAACCAGAAGTCACTTCTGACTGCAGTGAACTAAACCTAACACAGACATAAGATTAATAAAAAACATGATGTGCTGACAGCTTATGCAGTTCTGAGGTATTCTCATAATTACATGTCCTCTAGCTTGTTAGAGTAACTGAATTTTTGAAAAGCACTTAGAAATACACTTGTGTAAGGAATATTTGTGTGCTTTTCTTACAATCCACGAGGTGTGCAGTTTTCCATTGCTGACTTTTTCATTTCTCCTTTGGTACTGGAACATAAAAAGGCTCAACTCCACGTTTCTTGTTACAAAGCACAGATCACGATGTAGCCTTAAAAAAACCAAAAAAACAAACAACAACAAAACCCAACAAAAAAACAACCCAAAAAATTCAAGATGAGCAGTGCTATTTCTGTGTAAACTAAAAGCACCACGTGATAGATCAGCTCTCGAAGAACTTTAAAGTAATTAATAGTAGAACTGATAGTACAGAACGATCTACAGGATTTAGGCTGACTGCCAAAGCATGAAATAAAATGCACAAATGAGCTCACCATGGCCAGGTGAACCACAGGGTCCTTACAAAGCCTATTGATTGCAACATCCTACTCGAGTGTTTGCTCAAGGTATGTTTTTCGGTCATTTGATCTACTGCACTGAGTGCTCAGACTGTGCCTTTCACTTTGATGTTGGCGCACCCAGCACACATCCCACTGCAACAGCAGCACTTGGGAGGCCTGAGAAAGTCTCAGCTTTGAGGTGAACCAAGAAATATAGGTGCCTGGACATTGAAAATAAGGGTAACAAATTAGCAAACCCAACTATTCTGTCAGCGTTTGAATTCACCGAAACTTCTAATGAAAAGATTTCAGCAAAATTTTTTATTTTGTTAAAGCTAATGTGTCTCAGCGAAACATAAGTTTTGACACAGCCTGGAGCAGGAAGGACACAGGTACACCTTTCAGATGTGGTCCTCTGCCCTGTCAGAATAATGAGAAACAAAAGACTTCCCCAAATCAGAGAAGTAAGCTGAAACCCGAGCAGTGTTGCCCAACAAGCAGGCAGGTAAGCCTCTTCACACACATTTAAGGAACACACCTTTTTGGGTGAACCCTTTCAGAAGGTTTTGCTTTCATTCCAAAGAAAATAAAATTTAATCCTTCTTACCTGCACTGCAGTACTTAAGTCACCATCCTTTGTTAGCAGGAGCCTTATTAATAGAGAAGCTGCATTTGCATTTATTCCAAGGGGAACTGTGGGAGCCCTCTGCCAGGACAAGATAAAGCACAGTGACCACAGATGCATATGTCTGAAACAACAACAAGGATGGACTTTGCTTGAATGATGAAAAATTTAAATCCCAGAATCAGGCTTAGTCGGTGTTAAAATGAACTTGTGCTGGGAAGTACTGTTGCCATTACTGGGAAACCAAGAGAGGGGGATGTGACTTTTTTTCTTTAAAATACTAAAAGAAATATGACAGTTGATGTATTTTTGCATCACAGAGGAAATTTTGTAGACAATAAAAAACCCACAACAATTTTAAAACTGCACAATAAAGTTTTATAAGACAGAGATGAGAAACTTCAGCTTTGTACATTATTTAATTCAAATATATACAATAAGAGAAAAATAATAGGAATGTAAGTTTGTACTTATTTCCAGAAAATAGATTCATTTGACAAACAATGTTGGAAGAGTAAATAAATCTTGGAATGCAATTTCTTCAGAAAAAATGCACGTCAAGCTACTGCAGTCCTATACATTGTACTTCAGCCAGCAAAAGCCAATTCCTCTGCTCCGTAGCCAGAACACTTAATTTACAAAATGTGTAACAGCACACTGATGGTAAGATGCACAAAGCAATGTATGGAAGATAAAATGTTACAAAACACTTACCAAAATAAAATATATATGCAAGTTATCCCTAGTATTTACAACAAGTAGTTTTAAATTAGAGATCATTCAGAAGGCATCTCCTACATGCAAATGCCACACATATAGAAAAAAAGCAGAAAGGCAGTCAGAGAAAAGTACTGTGTTAGTTATGGCTAAAGACCTTTGGCTCCAAAACTGTGATATAATTGTTTTCAAAAGACAACTAAAATGTGGAACATTTGAGAAGTCTGTCTTTGAACTCAGTTATTACACTGACCACTAAAATTCAATGTGAAATTTAGCATGGCAAGAGCCACTTGTAAAACAATCTTATTATTTTATACATCAAATGCTTCGAGTTAGATGTAATTATGGTTTGGCATTTTCCTAAATCAGTGGGAACATATTTGAGGACAATTATATTTTACTGCATCTCATGCAAAAAGTCTGAGGTTATCTACTCAGCAGGCCATTGGGAAGGCTCTGGCTGTGCTTTATCTAAACGAGGCACAAACGTGCTTAGTAGTTGCCCTAGATTTTTTTTTTTATAGTAACTTCATGCAAAAGCAAGAGGAAAAGAACAGATGTTGCCATCACACCCTTCTCATCATATATAAGCTTTGTCATCAAAAGGAGAATCAGGGCAAGAGTTGCTAGAATTCAGTCTTTTACATTTTTGTTGCAACTCTTTTTCCCACAGACTCTAAAGTGAGGCTGAGTCAGGAGTAAATTTTTGTCTTAATTATTGAATAATGTAGTTGTGTGTTTTCATTTCACTATAATTTGGTTAAAATACTATGGCGTGGTATAAATTTGGCCTGTCTTACTATATTTTATCTTAATTCTGTTGCAAGGTCATAATGCAAAGAAAGACACAGAGAATATTATGAAACAACCAT